AGTATACGAAAGAGGCTGGGCCAGCAATTACAGTGAAGAACATAGCAGTGGAAGTAGCAAAGGCAACAGATGTATCGGAAAGTAGTGTCAGAAGAATAATAAGAGAAACAAAAAAATATCGAATCTGGGGCTTCCACTTCCTTTCCGACACCCCATAAAGAAAGACCTAGAAAATCTCCACTAGCCACTTTGGACGACTTTAACGAGTCTCTGGTGCGAAGATTAATTAACGACTTCTACATAGTCGAAAAACAGAGACCTACCCTGAAAAAAGTTCACGAAAACATGAAGAAAACATTAGATTTTCAGGGATGCATCTCCACATTAAAGAAAATTATTTTGAAACGGGTTCCGCTGGAAGAAAACAAAAAATAATCCGCAGATACTGGTGGAACGGTATATAAGAGCTAAACGTTTTCAGTATTTGCGGCAAATTAAAGAATATAGGGAAGAGGGCCGCCCAAACATCTACATGGATGAAAACTATATTCATTCATCGCACACCACCCCATATGCATGGAGTGATGGATCCATCCAGGGATAATTCCTCTGTGTCCAAAGGCCAACGGCTCATTGTTATGCATGCAGGGGGAGAGCAAGTTTACAGTGACATGAACTAGACCAATTATGAAAAATGGTTGAAGGAGCGACTTATTCCTAACCTTCCCCAAATTCTGTTCTTGTCATTGATAAAGCTCCCTACCATAATGTACAACTAAACAGAGCACCTAACTCAAATTCAAGAAGAGATTTTATGATATCCTGGCTAAAATATCACCTTCCACCTATTACCTTCAATAACACTGATTTTTCATCATTGCAGAATCCAGACATATATAATATGATCCTACCACTCAAACCGAAATACATTTCCTATAAAATAGATGGAATCTTTGCAGAACACAATCACAATATTTTACGACTCCCTCCGTAACACCCAGAACTCATCCCAACTGAGTTAATATGGGCCACCGTAAAAAATTGGGTTGCTCAAAACAATACCACATTTAAGATGGATGACGTCATTAAACTGGCAGACCAAAAATTGGCTTCCATAACTGCAGAAGAATGGCAACATAGGTGCCAACATGTAAGGAACATTGAGCAACAATTAATGGCACGGGAAAGCCTTTTGGGCACAGGGCGGGAGTTCGTCTTCCATGTTGGCGGTGATAGTGATGATAGTTCTGATGATAGCTCCCGTTCATCTGGTGGTGACGAGGAAGGACAGGCATGTGGAGATGATATCTATGCGGACATTGCCGGTGTTGCCCCTTTAGAATAGACCCGTGTAATATGTAAATAAACTCTTCATGTATATAACAGTGAAAAGTGTATAATAGTGTAGTGCACAATAGTCTGCCATTCGGCACTTAAAACTTAACATCGGATGTGTGAACATCAACGAGACTAAACCACCATCACTATGCAACACAATGAGGTAAGAAGTTATTTCCTTTTGAGAACGCCTGTACTGCATTCCCCGCCACACTTGTCGGCATGCTGGAGCTCTCCCCGCCACTACCAATACTTCTCCTACTCCGCGTCGGATGACTGTCAGCTCTAAGTACTACAACTTTAACTAGTTTATAAGCCTTTTTTAATGTCTGTTAGAAGGCAACACAGATAAGTGCGGATAAGCATATATATATGTTGACTATATTCGAACCCGCCGGTCACAGTGGCCACGCGGTCTCAGCATGGACTATTTTCTTTCGCTCGAACTCTGCCATCGTGGGTTTGAATCCCAATCGAGGTATGGGTGTATGTGTGATTTTATTCTTCGTCTGTGTTGTTCTGCTTGTAGGTAGCGGCCTTGCGACTGGCTGATCCCCGTCCAAGTAGTCCTACCGACTGTGTATAGGATTAAGAAAATTAAAAACGGGCCAAGGTCCAAAAATGGCTGTAGACCTATAGATAGATAGATAGATAGATAGATAGATAGATAGATAGATAGATAGATAGATAGATAGATAGATAGATAGATAGATAGATAGATAGATAGATAGATAGATAGATAGATAGATAGATAGATAGATAGATAGATAGATAGATAGATAGATAGATAGATAGATAGATAGTCGTACCCAAGATTCCAGTATGTGAAAAGTCATACGGCCATGGGGATCGGTTTTGCGAATTCGTAGAATCAAATTTGCCAGTTATCCCTATTTTCAATAAGGCCATGAAAACGTATGACGGAGCACAGATATAGCTTCACAGATTCTTAACCTCGGCGCTGTTTGCTCCAAGCAAATTACACGAATTGCCCACTTGACGAGGGACTGGTTGTACCCTTGAGCCTGTCTAGTCGTTGTGGCGGCGAAGCATCTAAGGCCCCCCATACACACACAGTTTGGCCTCCCGTTCGGCCTGCACAGTTGAAGACTGAAAGGCAAAACTGACGTGTGTGGTGCGGCCGGCCGGCCAATCGTTTGGACTGTTGGACTGTGGGAAACCCGTCAGTCCGTCAGTTCTGCCTGCAGGACCGTAGCACGTGACGTGTGTGACTCAACATTATAGGCTGGAAGACCGTGATTGTGGCATGAAGCCTGCCGCTTTATCTGCGCGTGTGTGGGGAGGAAAGGGAGGGGGTAAACTGTTACAGTTTTGCCTGTAAGGTCGATCGGAAGGCCAAACTGTGTGTGTATTGTGGGCCTAACAGTTGTTTTCCTGGCCATAGGCAGTCACTATATTAACTGTGCTAACCTGCCTAATCTCTCGTTTTTAATGTCGTACCTATATTTTTGATATATGTAATTGGTCTCGTAAGATTTCTGTAAACCGTCAAAGCATCCATCTTGGACTGGCTATACGTGTATTTTTATTTTACAGCTGACCGTGTGAAGATGCTGTGATTAAAAGGGCACAGCACTTCACAATAATTATGGCCCTAATGCTATGTTTGAAGGACAGACATGAGAGACAGCCTTCCTCGTGTAGCCGCGTGAGTTCTCTTGTGGACGCGAAGAGGCTTAGCAGTGTCGGAATAGTTTGCACGCCATTACGAGCTTACGAGTCTGTTATTATCTCCAACAGATATTTTAGGTTAAGCGGAAAGCGACTGTGGCTCCATCCGAACTGTAGCGGTATTCAACTCAAGTAAAGCATACCAGAATTTTGCAAGGCCCATTACCTGCCTCCTGGGAACAGAGCCTTTCTTGAGAAGCTAAACAGCCGCCCAGAAACCCGGGCTGCCTTATATACAGAACCTCACTACTCATTCATCTGTTCGTAATAAACCGCGACTGGGTTCAGTCCCGCGGCAGATAAATTCAGTCAACTCCCACACACTCCGCACGGACATTGTATTAAGATCCACTTTAATATTATCCTCCCATCTAAGCCTATGTCTCCCTGTTGCTTTTTTTTTCATTGGCAATGGCTCACACTGTAATGGATAGATTATTTAGTCAACTTACGAGTAAACGTAGACAAAAGGTAGGTTTTTCGTTGTGTTTAACTAATTAACCACTACGCCATGAAGGCGTGTGGGGGATTGGATGTGTAGATCCATATTTTCTTGACCTTGACACTAATTGCATGTGAGTGGTCAGCTTCACGCCTCGGGCCGCTGTACCCCCGGAGAAAGAGCTTCTATATCCCTTGGGTTGGCCCCAGAGCCGGTCTGAACCACGTGGAGAAGAAAGAATTCTTGACCCTACCGGGACACGAACACCGACCCTTCGGTCATATAGCCCGTAGCCAGTCGTAAGCGTACATATAAAGATAATGTTTAAACACATTTAAAAATTATGCAGTTCAGGTTATAGATTGGGTTCATCTGGCACAGGTTAGGGTCCAGGTGCTGGTTTATGTGAACACGGCAGAGAACTTTCGAGTTCCATGAAAGACGAAGAATTACCTTACCCTTATGTAGCAGAGCCTGTATGAAGGCAGCCTAGATTTTCCTGTTTTGTTTGAAAGTGTCATATTTCATATATAATTCCAAACAACAAATGCCATGAATGTCTGTTTAAGGAGACAAATCTACTCCCGACTGCTATACACCAGACGCTGAACTACAGCCCTGCTTCATGGTCAGTACTCACCTTCCGCTGCCCCAACTAATGTCGACATGGTTGCACAGGCACTTCCGGTGGGGCCGACAATACAGAACAGCCGTCCGCCCTCGTCTGTCTCCTGCTGACCTACAAGTTCAGTGTGCCCGACCGGAACATCCGTGCTGTAACACTGCTGGGGGGGCCTGGAGCACCCCTCCCCTCCTTCTAGATACTGAAGCTCGTTTTCTGCATACTGCTGTGTTGCAAACTGATTATGACACTGATCTGCATCAACTGTAAACTGATTATCCCGCGGTTGCTCTTGGAGATGTCCGTTTAACTGATATGTATCGTGTTCGTGATTGTAACCACTGAGGTTATATTTATCCTGTTCTTGAAGGCACCCGTTCAGATTACGGTTCTCTACGGACTCGTCTTCTATATAACGTTGTTCCTGAACGTACCCGCTCAAGCACTTACGGAAGCGCCCGTCCTGAAAACATCGTTCTTGAATGTCTTCGTGTTCTTGATACAGTTGAGCTTCTTGTTGCAGACAGAACTGGCGCTTTTGCTCCTCCAGAAAGCTCCTGTAGTCTTCGTATTGTCGTTGTTGACGCAACTTCCGCTCTTCTTCTATCTGCTGCAAACCTTCTTTCTGTTCCAGTTCTGTGTCGCTACTCTCACTGCTACAAGCGTCTGGCAGCAAGCCGAATATGTGAGTAGGAAGAGGGGAGAACCTCCAAGAAACGGGAGGCGCTGGGCCCATGAGTTGAGACTGCTGTACTGCCATGACCTCCTTGACCTTCACGTCAGCATCCCCTTCTGAAACACAACCATTAGGATACGTAAAGTAAAACTCACGCTTGCGATAACGCTACAGGTACAACAGCCTGAACTGAAAATTTTAGCCAGATTGTAACGCCATGGGATGGAGTCTCAGAGAAGCTGACAGTTGCAACTTAAAAAATTTCCGTCCTTTTTTAGTATCCGAAAATTCGCTAACATTTTTATAAGATCCTGCCACTGGTCCCAACCCTGAACCACATAAAATGCAGTCATCGTCTTTATGTCTTGCTTCTCTCAGAGCCATTTTAACAGTATCGTCCCATCTACTTCTATTTCTCTAAAGTGGTCTTTTACCTTCAGGTTTTCCGGCTAACATTTTGTATGCATTTCTCATATTCTCACACCTACTACATGTCCGAGCCAACTTACAGACATATATTTGATGAACATAATGATAGTAATAGTAACTAATGAACAGTAAAAGTTACTAAAGCTGGTCACGGTAGCCGAGTGGTCTAAGGCACGTACTGTCTTCGTTCGTTTGGAAACCGGGATCGTTGGTTCGAATACCACTCAGGGCATTGATGTTTAGTTTGTGTGTGTGCGTTTTTCTGTGTTTGTGTACAGGTAGAGGCCTTGCGACGAGCTGGTCACCCGCCCAATGAGTCCTACCGTATGTGTAATTTCTAGAGAAACCGAAGTGAACGGAGAAGTTCATGGAGGTAGGCCTAGGCCCACTGGGGCTGTAGTGCCAAGGGAGAAAGAAAAGTTACTAAATACTTCATTATGTAATTTCCTCCATCCTCCCATTACTTCCGCATTGTCATCTCCAAATATTCTGCCCAACACCTTTCCTCTTGTATAAGGGTCTCACACCAATACAAACCAACAGGTAAAATGATAGTTTTGTATATACTCATACTAATTTTAGATTTTAGGTAGGAGATGTAAAGCGCTGATGAAAATGTTGATCTTATGACACGTATGATCGTTGCTGTAACCGAGACCAGAAAGTTTTCTTGCTTCTCACCTCTTCTGTAATGGCAAATGTCATGGTTTCCATTGCTTACTGCAATGGGCTACGACTCCAAGTCGTCCAGGGAACCACTCTGTGCTTTAACATCAGTTACACCTTGAATTGCATTATACTATCACGTGTATTAGTGACTATTAGACGGGGTTTGGATTGGATGATTGGATTTATTGACACCTTATTCACTCAACTCTTTAACTACAAGTGATACAGCGCTATCGCTAATCCGCACACACTTTACAAACCACTAGGACATGCCAAGTCTTCTCAGTTCACTAGTCTTTTCCTGGAAACGGATTTATAACAGTCTCACTCTCATTGCAACACACTATGAAGTCTTCTTTGCTCAACCTAATTCCTCTTTTGCCATATTTTCTCAATTATTCTGCGAACTGCCCAATCCGGAAACTTGTTTCTCCAATTTACCACGCCACTTCCTAGTTCATATCCTGGCAGGCTGGAACATCGAAATTCAACTGACTCAAACAATCTCCTTTATCGTGTTTATAACTTCTCGGCACGAACCGCACAGAAATCACAGTTCTATTGTTGCATGAATTCTTCTCCGTCGAAATGTGCTTACCATTTCGCTCAATAGCGACGGTTATACGCGTCACATCTCGCATCGTGACAATTCTTCTATTGTTGTATGCGGACATTACCTAGCAGCGGCTGTTTCTCTGGCACCATAGTTCTTGCTTTGAGGGAACGTGTCACAATACAATTAAAACTTCACTAACCCAATATACAAACTGAAATATTTACCTTCTATGTGTCTTCTTTATGTAGAACAAACATAAAGACGCAGTCGAAAGATCGACATAGAAGCTCCGGTGTATTATGTGAACACCGTGTAATGTAGCAATTCCCATCAATTCTCTCCGCTCTAGTTTTCATTTCAAATAAGACTCATCGATTCAATTTTAAAGTAATACATTAAAGTAAAATTTCGTTTCTACTTGTTACCTTGAAGCGTAACCATAACCTAAATATCAGCTATAATAAATAGACTGTCTATTTGTGGACTGTAGGCTACATTTCAATTTTTAATGCAATTTGCTTAAACGTGACAGTACTCAACGAACCATGAATATAAGCAAACGAAAACATAGTATCAGGATAATTTCAGCTTTCTAGACCGCAGAATTATTTATATGGGATGAAACGAAGTGGACATTTTTCAACGCAAAATAGAAGCTCCTTTTGACCTAAGCCTAGCACAGGCCACTTTGCACGTGACACACTTAGAGGGCTCCACACGAACACATCTTCTAACTCTCTTTGTGACCTTGACATAGTCTCCCATCGAGAACATAGCACGAGACCAGGTCACTCCTAAAACAAAATCACGATTAGTAGAACAATTGAAATTTAGTATGTCACAAAATGGCCGAAGAAAATAGATTATAATTGTCATTTTTTTATCTTGATGGTGTCGTGAGAGTCTTTCTCGTTGCATTTTAAGTCAAGACAAACAAACGACCCTTTTCTTCATTCAGCTCGTCGCTCTGATACATTCCAACCACACAACAAAGTTGTAAGTGATGGGGTAATTTCTCTGCAGTAGCTCTCAACAGCTTGGTATGTAGACATACTGTTACATTAATCTTTACCTCAAACACAGAACACCTTTAGATTCAGATCAGCGGAAGACAAAATCTACCTAAATTTTGCTAAAGATCCGCACTAAATAAGCGTTTGTTGGAATGAGATGGGTAAAATATTTAGCACACATGTGAAAGATAGAAAAGACATACACAGGAAATTTATGTCCAAAATCTGAAGCGAAAATACATATTGTGATATCTAGGTGTAGCAAGGAGAATAGTATTCACACTAATTGTAAAATCAATAGTGTGTGACCACGTGAACTTCATTCGTACGGCGGGCTATTGTGAACACGATAACAAAATTTTGGGTTCTATAAAACACGGGAACGTACTGACTTCTCAAATATCTGTGAGTTTCTCAAGCAGGACTACGTACCAATGAGAGTTTCATTCGTAATTCTTTTTACATATGTGAATGTTACTTTTGCCCTCAGTCCTTTAAATATCGACTAGAGGATAAATGGGGTGAGGGGCAGTGAGAGATACTATTTTTAAGGGGGGAAGGAAATTGTTTCCTCAGGTGTTGAAATTTCCAAGGCAGTGCCCGCTCATCCTTCTGCTATAGGTATGTTAATGAGAGGGTTCAGTTTCAGGAATTGAAAAGACAAAATTTAAGATGTGGATTTTATTATAAGAAAAGGAGAGAATTTGAGCAGGGGCTTTACTGCTTATGATCGGAATTAATTTTGATTTCAACATTTTAAGGGCTGCAGTAGAGTAACATTTCCTATTTAACATTGGAAAGGCTATACTGGGGCGAAATTTTGGTATTACCATTGGGAGGGCTGCACGTGAGATTTGTGTACCAACTCAGCATTTGCTCTAGGACCGAGGAAACCCACAGACAACCTTGGTATAGTTGAGATAAGAACGAATTTCTTCTAAATAATTGATAAAAAATACAGTTTGTATCTCGCAGGAGGAATATTATATTTTCGTTATAACGACTAATGGGTTGTTGCTATTAAGGGAAGTTCATTTTGTTCTCCTCTCCTCTTGCTCCCACTGTGCAGCAGAGCACTAATTTCTCAGTTTCATGATCATTTTACAGACGGTAAGGTTCCTAGGCCGGTCACGGTAGCCGAGCGGTCTAAGGCATGTACTGTCTTCGCTCGCTTGGAAACCTGGATCGTGGGTTCGAATTCCACTCAGGGCATGGATGTTTAGTTTGTGTGTGTGCGTTTTTCTGTGTTTATGTACAGGTAGAGGCCTTGCGACGAGCTGATCACCCGCCCAAGAAGTCCTACCGAATGTGTAAGATCTAGAAAAACCGAAGTGAACGGAGAAGTTCATGGAGGTAGGCCTAGGCCCACTGGGGCTGTAGTGCCAAGGGGGGGAGGAAAGATTCCTAGGACGCTCGTCGCAAGGCCTTTAACTAAACACAGAATAAACGCATACACTTACCAAACATCCATGACTTTTGTGGGATTTGAACCCGAGCAAGCGAAGACTGTACATACCTCAGACATTAAGGGAAGTAGTCGTTATTTCTTGTGAGAACCGAAGGAAACACACAAACACACTGTGTGGGTAGAATTCAGAGTTCTGTGGAACATATATACAGCTAAGCTTCAACGAGTACGTAGAGAATTAATACTCTGTTTGATATGTTAATAATCAACTTCATTTGTTCATTACAAATATTAGCTTTTTGGATATTATCCATAGTCTTGTCTTATCTAAAAGCCGTCCTGTTTACTTTTCAAAACACAACGTTTCGGAGACGGATTTCTGCCTCCGTCTACAGGTAAAACCTACTCAGTTGGGCCAAGTGGACAGAGCTAGTCCCTGTCTCCGTAGGCCCAACAGAATCTAGTTTCCGAAACGTTGTGTTTTGAAAAATAAGCAGGACGATTTTTAGATAAAGACAAGAGGATGGATAATGTCCAGAAACATAACAACATTTGTATTAATGTACCGTGTCACAAGCTTTCAGATCTTACTCTCAATTTCATGTTTTCCCACAGAAGATGTCAATTTAGTAGTTAGCAGTCATGCTCCGCATTTTGGATTGCAGTTGGCTATTTTTCTCATCCCCTATGCAAATCTTCGTCAGTACCATCAGAGGGGACATAAATGTTTATTTCCACTTTCTTTCCAAATTCATAATCATTTCACATAAGCAGCTGACAAAGTGTCTTAAAAAAACAAACATTTGATTAAGTTTCCAGTTGGCCGCGCCATGGCTCAAGCGGTTAGTCGCTGGCTTCCCAACGCGGCGGCCCGGGTTCGATCCAGGGTCTGGTCAAGTGGGATTTGTGGTGGAGAAGTGGCGCTGGGACAGGTTTTCTCCCAGTACTTCGGTTTCCCCTGCCAATCTTCATTCCACCAATTGCTCCACAATCACCCTCACCTATCATCTGGGGCTGGTACAATAGGCCAGAAGTGGCCGCAGAGCAAGGGACTTAGTCCCACCCCAGTACCAATTAAAAAAAGTTTCCAGTTCGTCACCAATGTATGCCTCGTTTTACAGAAGCTTCTAATGCCAGTCATTTGACCCTTCTGTCTTAAAGACATGCTTACTAGCGCATTGGAATTTAAAAGATATGCTCCAAAATTTGCATAGTCTCAAATAAACGTCACCCGTTTCGCAATTTTCGTAAAGGAATTCTTCCCATTTCACGTGTTGTATAAAATATATTATTCTCAGTTCAAGTTTCGTCCAAATTATATCCTCAAAAATTCCTCCAGAATCTAATATCTAAAGTCAGTTATTTGTGTACAATTTCATGGAAGGAATCCGATTCAAGGAAAGTACTCACAGAGCTTGTCTGACATTACCATTGCCGAAACATGCAGCATCAGCTGATCCCTGCAAATTTCAGTCCTTCGTTGTTTGGCGCTGTTCACTCGACTCACTGCAGCTGTTCTGATAACGGCTGGCCAGACCTTACTGACGTCTAGCTTCTGATTACACCAGGATCCAGGACTCGTTGGAGGGGCGTCGTCGTTGGAGTGCGTCCAGGCGCGAACACCATCCTCAGAAGAAACACAGCAGCACCCGCGAACCGTCACGCTCGACGGAAAACGTTTCGACGCAGAAACAACTGGGCTAACTATGCATACGCCCTGCAAGGATCCGCTGCTGTCTTTCAGCCCGCCTCACAATTCACCAGCCTGTATACTTGCGCTATGCGTTTTTGAATTAAAACCACAGTAATAACGGATAATAGGAATGTCACGTATCATCTATGATAGTGAGCATACTTCTGCGTATCGTTGTCTACACCACAAGTTATCGACCTGATACTTTATTGTACTTGATCAGTCCAACATAACTTCACTACACATGTTTGACCAGTTTTCTTAAATTTGTTCAGTTTACAGGATACTGGTACGTCATCACACAGCACAGATCCAATTGAAATCTAGAACATTCATGTCCTACTTCTTTTTCGACTCAGGAATATTGAAAAAAAATGTCTCTCGACAAAATAAGCTATATATAGCTCAAAATTAACAAATTTATAACCTGTTTCTGCCGAGAGAGTTCAGCATAGAATGATGAAAATTAAATTTTGATATAGTATACAATAAAGAAATCTATCGATTCCTAAGTTGTACCTATCCCCTAGTTCTGAGACTGAGATGCGCAATAAAACACGGGTACAACGAAAATTCAATGAGTTTTCTTCCTAGTTCAAGAGAGGAGCAGACAGGTACTCCGATCAAGCTCATCCTACCTATGACACATAAGTTCACTTCACGGTTGCGCTGTCTGGAAAACTCACTGCATTATCTTGTCAACAACAACAATTTAAAGGTAAAATTATCGATGTACGTAAGCCAATGCTGAAGTGTAACTCCAAGCATTCTTGACATAGTTCTACATGAGGATGAGGCCGCACCGTAGCTCAGGAGGTTCTCGGCGAACCGGGTTCGAGCCCAGGTCAGTTCTTGTGGGATTTTTGGTGGACAAAGTGGCACCGAGGCAGGTTTTCGCAGAGTACCTCGGTTTCTCCTGCTAATTCTCATTCCACGACTGTTCCACATTCATCATCATTTATCATCCGGGGCTGATACAATACGCCAATTAGTGGCCGACGTACCAAGTGGACTTAGTCTCACCCCACCCCAAGAAATTAAAACTGACTACATGAGGGTGAAGCATCCATCTTGACACTGCCACCTATATTCTCCCGCGGAAATAACAGTCGGATAGGCGACTGCATCAGCCTGGAATCAAACCCTGTACCAGGTCACTTTGCTTGCTGAAGCACCTTGTCACTTTTTCCTAAAACGTCTAAGGTTTGCTTCCAATCTGGTGACAGTATGGTAATTCCTTAGCAGAATTAGGGAGAAACTGTGGAGCATTGCCTCACTGTGACAGGGCGAAGTGTACCACAACACAGCGGAAGGTCTACGAAAAGTTTCACCCGAGTCTTTCAACAGAACAAATGAAAAATTACTAGGGTTACTTAGAGTAGAGAGGAGTCAGGAAGAAGATGCCTTACACACGGAGGTCAAATGAAAGTAAGACAACTTGGAGTAGCATATCAACTGCACGTTACGGTCCAAGAAGTGATTTAAATATGTACAGCGGAAGAGAAGAAAGCTCAGATGTTCGAATGTTGAAACTAAAGAGACAGCGGTGGTGTTGGTGGAAATATGTATTTCCATTGGAATGTTCCAACTCTAAGGTCCGTCTCACAATGGCAGATTCATTGTACTGATATCACGTGACATTTCCTGTTATCAGAAATATGTTCGAATCACACGACTTTCAGAGAGTTGGGTCAGCTAATGAGCTCGTGTGACTGCTTGTCATTATAATAATCGATTTTTACAACCTTTTATCTTTCATATCAGAGGCGACGGTGCAATCAAACTACTGGGTTGTAGTCTAAATGCGGACTATTGCGGTGTCCCTAATCGATCCCAGCCACCGTTAACAATGTTAAAGACAAAAAATCAGTGTAACTCTGTTAGTATAATGACAATCAGTCACTTGAAGACAAGGGTAGAACACACTTCCAAAACGCCTTGTATGATAAGGATACAGTCAATACAACGTCCATTATAACAGTGATATTATGACATGACGCCTGAAAGCCGGAAGAGTTCATTTCTAGGCAATGACTCGGTAAACAGGTTCCACTGGAAATGAGCACTCATGCGACAATAAAAGAACTGCCGTGTCTGAACAAAGGATCGGCAGACACGTCACAATTGGGATCCTGTTGGAAACGGTGTTTTCTATTAGGTCCATGCAAAGTGGCTGTAAGGAAGATTTCAGTTGGGAATAGTCAGTCGAGTTCCATGTGAGCAGTTAGTCGAGAGCTGGGCTCTGGAAGGATGGCTGAGAAGATGGCGCTATGAGTTCAGGTGTGGAGTGTTAACCGAGAGCTGGGCTCTGGAAGGATGGCTGACAAGATGGCGCTATGAGTTCAGGTGTGGAATGTTAACCGAGAGCGGGGCTCTGGAAGGATGGCTGACAAGATGGCGCTATGAGTTCAGGTGTGGAGTGTTAACCGAGAGCTGGGCTCTGGAAGGATGGCTGACAAGATGGCGCTATGAGTTCAGGTGTGGAGTGTTAACCGAGAGCTGGGCTCTGGAAGGATGGCTGACAAGATGGCGCTATGAGTTCAGGTGTGGAGTGTTAACCGAGAGCTGGGCTCTGGAAGGATGGCTGACAAGATGGCGCTATGAGTTCAGTTGTGGAATGTTAACCGGCAGTTAACGACGTGACCACGGAAGCTGAAGAATCTCCACTGAGTTAAATCCGTGGCAAGGAAACGGCTAGTGGAGACTATAATAGACTGCGAATACCGTGTGTTTCAGTGAACTCTAATTATGTATAGTGCCGAGTGGTGTATAGAAGAGGCCAAAGATTCCTAACATCCAACCCAAACCCCGCCTATAGTCACAACCACAAATCGCGACAATATCATGAAATGATCTGTCTGTAAAGAAAAAATAAGGCAATCTGGAAGCAACCCTTAGAACTCAGATTATATTAGAAGTGGCAACAGTGCTTATGGTCTGCTCTGGATGAACCAAGTAGCTTTGCAGTTTTCATCGCAGGTTATAAACCCGTTATCTGTACTTTGCGCTGTCCACGGATCCCAGCAGACACGTCAGATCTGAACGCGCTTGTTGTCACACGGCACCAAGACAGATTATGGCCTTAAATTAGAGGAAACTGTATTTATGCTTGCTTCCTGCACACAACTTGCACCTGGCGTGCTCAGTTGGGTGGATTCTTTATATACAGGGTGTTGCGATTAGAGTTCTCTAATCAGGTAATATAAAAATTCTGTGGTACTCTTATATCCCGATGAGGTCATTGGATCTTTTTCAACTGACCTGATTCTTCCAGCCGCACTATGGCCCTGAAGTCGACTCAGCCTCTAAGGGAAATAAGTAGAAGGAATATTCTTGAGCGCAAAGGGCGGCCGGCGCGTAAGGCTGACAACCTTGTCACCATCTATGAGCCGATTGCCTAGAAAATGTGGGAACCTCAACATCTCACAACCCTATGGGCCTCCACGGCCTATTACGGGGATACCTTTACTTTTTACTCCTATTCATATCGTAAGAAAACATACATATGAGATTAAGTACAATTCATTCATGGAGCTGAGCCCTTCTTGAAAGGCCGCAAATTTTGCAGCTACTCAAGAATTTCCCAGCATTTTATGGAATACGAAGGTTAATTACCGCGTTCACAAGAGCCCTTTACTAGTCCCTATCCTAAGCCAGATTAACCCAATCCATATCACCCATTCCTATCTCTCTAAGATCAATTTTAATATTGTCCACCCACCTACGCCTTGGTCTTCCCAGTGGTCTCTTTCTTTCTGGCTTTCTCACCAAAAACCTATATGCATTATTCTTCGCCACCATTCGTGCTACAAGCCCTGCCCACCTCATCCTCCTTGACTTGATCATTCTAATTATACTTGGACAAGAGTACAGGTTATGAAGCTCCTCATTATGCAGTTTTCTCCAGCTTCCCGTCACTTCACCTATCTTCGGTCCAAATATTCTCCTCAACACCCTGCTCTCAAACACCCTCAGTCTATGTTCCACCCTTTAATGTCAGAGACTAAGTTTCACATCCATTCAGAACCACAGGCAAAATTAGGGTTTTGTATATTCTAATATTTATGTTCTTGGACAGCAGACAAGAAGACAAAAGGCTCTGAATTGAATCGTAGCAAGCATTACCCGAGTTGAATCTCCGCTTAATTTCCTCCTGAATCAAGTTTTGATCTGTTATCGTTGTTCCAAAATATCTTAACTATGCCACGTTTTCAAAACATCTGTTTCCTATCTTTATGTCATGCTTTTGCCCTGCATTTTGGTGATGAGACAGCAACATGTACTTAATTTTCTCTGTGTTCACTTCTAGACCCACCTCTTTACTTGCGTCAATTCAAGTTTCTGTGTTTTCAGTTTATGGTATCTATGTTATCACCCAGTAGATTTACATCATCATAGACCAATAGCTGATGTGTCCCATTAAATTAGGTTAAGTAGGCATTTCTTAAATTATATCATACTGATGTTTAGGAATAAGAAGATGCATTGATTTTACTATCATTTTACTCCATTGCATTACTATATATCTGACCGGCCACTGCCTCTTTTAACAGAACACATTCTTGCCTTGTATTCTATTTAATATAGATAGCAGGCCATAGCAGACGCTTTCTCCTTCGCTAGTATGACAACACTATGCTTCCACACTCAAAGCATTTACACGCAGTCCCAGGTAATCTTTGAGAACAGCGGCAAGAGAATTGAATATGCAAGTTTCAACAGTACACAAGGTTCTACGGAAGAAATTACGGCTGTATGCTAATCAGATGCAACTTGTGCAAGCTATTGAACCACATGATAAGCCTAAGAGAACGGATTTTGCAACAGATATGTTACGAAGAATAGAGGATGATGAAAGATTTCTTACAACCACATTGTTCTCTGATGAAGTTTGCTTCCACATTTGTGTAACAGTCAATCGCCATAACGTACGCATTTGGGGATCAGAGAACCCTCATGAATACCGTGACATGGCAAGACACTCCGCAAAAGTTACGTCATATTACATTAAATTAACTTACATTATTAAATCCATGGAACAGATTTCAGAATTTAGTATTTGCAA